GAGCGGCTGCGGGAGAGCAGGGGAGGAGCTGGCAAGATGAGGCTCTGGGGTGTCCTCCATCAGGTCCATAATGTGGCTGGGGGCCTGGGAAGGGGCCATAGCGGGCTCTGGGCCACTGCCCCACAAGTCTAGCAGGCTGTCGTCTGTGCTGGATAATGGAGCGGTGCTACTGGGCTGGGGGGAAACACTTGGAGAGGTCTTGACGAAGCTGGATTCCAGCACTGGAGTTTGCTTGGGAGTGTCAAAGGCTGGAGGAAAGAAAAAGAACATTCAAGAAATACGGAACTATATTGTGCAAGAACATTTTGTGCAATTAACTCCAAAGAACAGCAATTTGGAACATGGAACTTGTATATGCAATGCATTACTAAAACACCCAGGGGGCCCAAAAGGGTGCTTTTTTTCTTTGTTTAACTGTTGCATCTAAAGAAAATGAATTATATGAATCTATTTTACAGATAATATTTGAATAAATTCTTTTCATTTTACTAAAGTGACAATGTATGTCCATTTATTAAATTTGACTAGTGTTCAAGTTAAAAAATTTATGTATATTTGGGGTATAAATTGTTCCATGTGATTACATGACATTCAGTTTGAGGGGTAAAATCAGCTGCTCAATTTTTTTTACAATGTTTAAAGGTATTCATAACACCATATAATATATACCAAATACACTTCAGTTCAGTCCTTTCGTTTTAAGGAAGTATTCATGGTTAAAATCAATGATTTTTAAGGGTATGTTTTCTTACTGTTCTGATTATGAGCAGTAAATTCAGCCCCAGTGAAGTGCTTTTCTTAAGTACATTTAGTGCAGGGTTTACACACATGAGCTGAAAAAATCAGTCAGCTGTGAAGGCAAACACAACCTGGACAAACAAATGAGCCCCAGGCCGCATCACAGGGGCCAGTTTGCATGCAAGAGATGATTTCGAGGGAGCAATAACAGCCTCCCAACTGTGTAAATAATTAAGCTGAGATTCAACATTTTACGTCCCAAATAGGACATTGTGGAAGAATCTGTTTCTGGATCTAAAATGTTTAGTATTAAAAATAACGCTGTTGCTTCAGATATAGTATGCATGCATTGTATGTCCTTTGTTTCTTTTTCTTCATTTCATTCAAAAAGCACTCAGCTGAAACAATGAAACAGGTTCTGTGCAAAAAGTTGGTAGCAAGAATGTGTCATGGATAAAACAAACTAATGATAAGTCTAAAAATAAGATATTAAGGAATATAATAAAACTATGACTTACATTTTTTTTTGGCACATCGCCACCTAATGGTCGGGAGATATGAAAAATGGTTTGGCCAAAAATCATAAGGCTGGTGTTTTTAGATTTGGAGTAACATACCTAGTCGAACGATAACCCAATTTTCCACTGACCATGCACTGAAGGTACTCGAAAAGTTTGAAAGTAAAAAAAACGCTAATAACTTTTGATTAGTTTTGCCTATTATCGCGAGACTGGTGTTAATAGATTCTTTGGACCATGCTGAGAACCTTGATACCAATTATGCCATAATTGACCATTTTGATTTTCTTTGAAAACCTACTTTTTCAAACTCCTCCTAGACCATTGGGCTGATTTTCACCAAATTTGACACAGATTTTGGATA